GTGTGTGTGTGTGTGTGTGTGTGTGTGTGTGTGTGTGTGTGTGTGTGTGTGTGTGTGTGTGTGTGTGTGTGTGTGTGAGTCAAGCGGGGGGAGGGAGGTGGGCGCGCGCATATCGATCCCCGTGTGCGTTTGTGCACACGCGTGTGCCTTTGCTCACACAACCATGTGTGCCCCCCTTTTGCAGTTGCTGGGTGGGCGTGGCTGTGTGCGCATGAACTGATGACGACTCTTTTCCTCGGAATCAAAATCTGCTCGTTGTGTGGAATGCGCAATAGCCAAACAAGGCAGCTCTCACGTCCGCTGCGCAGGCATGCCTGCTTGCTCCCTTGGAAAGCCGTTGCCTCGCCATCTACAGTATATAAGTTTGGTGCCCTGACAAGAGGGGGCGCCAATGAAAGTGCAGTAGTGATCCAATGCTGGTACTGTGCCATTGACAAGACAGTTTTAGGCAGTTGCGAGGCAGTTGCCATTTTCCAAGGCAGAGTGCAGCACGTAACGACTCAAGACACGAAGTGCCACCCTCTAAATTTCCACCAAATGCTGCGCACACTGTGCGTTCCATGCGCCCGCCATGGTCCACAAACACTGCGATTTGCACAATGCAGCTTGCCGCAGCTGCTGCAGCAGGAACCACTCAGCCACAGCCGGGTGTCACCTTTTGGCGAAAGGTGACCCCAGTCTGCTCGTAGTGCCACAGAACATGTGTCCTGCCTACCTGAATCTCTGACAAGCTTGCCTGGTTCCCTGCGTGCAAAGGATGTAACCGGACACCACTTGCCATGTGAGCCACAGCGCCGTCGACCTCAGCAGCAGGCCATGCATCGATCGGCCCCGCCTGGGGCCTGGCCCAACGTTCAAATTCGCTTGGGTGGTGGCCTGCACGATGCAGGGTACCGCAAGGATCCCGCGCAGCACTGCTCATGACCATACCGTACCCCGCAGCCTCAAGCGGCCGGGAGATGACACCGTAACTGACGGAGGTACGTGAGATTATTCAATGATACGAGAAGCTCCACATTTCATGGACACAATGCACATGTGTGAATGGCTCTGTTAACATATGAAGGTATACATCGCGCGACTGTCTCATTTCATAAGCTGCAAGCCGCAATCATTCGGACAGTCTCTACATGCTTTAGTAAGACTGGATGCCTTGCCCACCCACCGACGACCGTGCATTCACTCAAGTTGATTCATAAAAAAATATGTTGGGCTCGCAGCGCACCACGAAGTCGCATCGTGTGGTGTTGGCAACTGATGGAGGATGTAACACCCAGGTTACACAAAGAGTGTGATGCGTGCTGCGCTCTGCTTACAGTTGGTCCTTTCTGCATCACAGCGCAGCGCATGAGGGTCTGTTAATGTCTGAAGCGGGTGACAAGCCTGGCTCACAGGACTTTTCAGCTGCAGCCAGGACGCTGGAGAGCTGCCTGTAGCTGTCGCAGGCACTGCACTAAGGTCACCAGCTTTTGCTCGCCCTTCCCAGGACTAGGGGACAGGGCAGGTGCCGTCTGTCCTCACCAGAACGATTGGCGCACGCGCTGTGGCGACGGCGCCACCTTAACTCTGTTGCCTCAAAAACGGGTGGTGTCTTGGGAGCCATACAGCTGGATGGAATTTATTGGGGCAGCGAGGGCACCGACCCGCAGTCACCTGCGCTGTGCTTTTATTCCTTGCGGCTGCCCGCCCCTCGTGGTATCCCAGTCGCAGCAGTGGTTCACTGAGCGCATGTATTTCCGGCATGCATGCCGCGGGAGGCCTTTAGGCCACGCCGCACCCGATCCTTTGGCACACACTGCAACATTCAGGCAGGGCATTGTTGAGTTTTAAGGGTTACTCGCACCGCGGAATATTTAAAGCCATACACTGGCCTACAAACCAAGACACACCCACGCCTGTCAACAAGCCTGCCAGCCGCGTCTCATCGCAATATCAGTGCGCAGGCATGCGCACAGGCGACCATATGGTCGCCTGCGCGCCACCCAAGTAACTGCCAGAATGTCAAGGCCCAAAACCGCCAATGCTCCGCCTCGGCCGCCCACGCTCAGCCCCGCCTCCCCTTTGCACCCCGCCCCAGCATTACGTCTGCAAGCTGCGTCTCTTCGCCGCGGAAGTGCGCGCCCTGCAGGTGAGTGTCAGCGTTCTTCCAGAACGCGGGCCGGTCCTGCTCGTGCCGGGAGCCGGCGTGCATGGCCGCCATCAGCCGGAACCCAGCGCGCCGCGCAGCATCGACAAGCTTCGGCGCCACCCCTGTGAAGGTCCCGATGACCGTCTTGTCCTCGTCCTCGTCGTCAGTGTCGCTGTTGACTGTGGTTTGTTCCTGTGATTGTGGTTTGTGTGGTGTATGTGTGGCGGTGTGTGTGTGTGTGTGTGTGTGTTTTTGGGGGGGGGCGTGGCTGTGTGTGGGGGACTGTGTGTGCGCGTGCGTGCAAGCGCGCGCAGTTGTGCGGGTGCGTGTGTTTGAAAGCATTTGTTGTAAGCCTGTGCACGCAAAAGCGTATGTTGACAGAAGTATCTTCGGACTCACATCAAGCCAGCATCCCAGGACACTTGAAGCACACCTCACCTTGTCGAGGTCCCGCACCACCATCTTTATGTGCCACAGGCTGGCGCCCTTGACGCCGGTGCGGTACCAAAGCCTCTCACGACCCTGCTTGGTACGCTCAAAGCCAAAGGTTTGCCCGGCGGGTGGCGCGGCGCTGTGCTGGCGCTGGTGCTGGTGCTTGTGTTTTGTTGAGCCCTGCTTGTGCTGGGATGCATTGTAGAAATCGGTGTTGCTGGGCTTGAACGGGGCAAGGCTCGCCTCTGCAAACTGCGGCGTGGACAGGTCGATGGGGTGCGGGGTGGCTGTGACATCTACCACAAGGCCTGCCTCCCTGCACCACAGCTCCGCGCTGAGCACCTCGTTCTCGGCATCCTGCCACCTGCCTATGCCCCGCGCCCGCAGCTCGGCCAGCTTGGCCCGCAGCTCGGCGTGGCCGTTGCCATTGCCCAGCGCCAGGCCGCCCACCGCGGGCGCCGCGGGGCTGCGCAGGCGCGCTGCGCCGCCCTGCCGGCCGCGCTCTTGCTCGGAGCCTTGTGCGGCAAAGCCGTGGCCTGCCCCGCCGGCGCTTAGCGCCGCGCCGCGGCGGCCGGCGGACACTTGGGCGCTGGCACCACCGCTGACGCCACCATGGGGGATCGCACCAGACACAGGCTCCGCACCGTCGCCAAGCTGCAGATCGCGGGCGGGGCCAGGTGCGACCGCATCCGCTCCTGCAGCGGCCGCCGCAGCTGCCGCCACTGCAGCGGCCGCCGCCTTGGCCGCTTCTGACGCCGCTGCAGCGATCTGCTGCCCGTATGAGAGCGGCGCTGTGTCCATCGTTGCAGTACTGGCGTCCATCATCTCTATCTCCCCCCCGCCATCCGGCTGCCGCCGCTGCCGTGGCGCCTGCTGTTGCCTGGCCTGCAGCCTCGGCGGCGGCGCCCTGGGCGCTGCGACGCTCCTTGGCGCTGCCGTGGGCTTGCCGACGGTGCAAAGTGTCTGCCTCTCAAAGGGCCCGAGCCTGCAGTCGCGCACATCACTCTCGCGCGCACACTGGGACTGGCGGTGCCGTGAGCGTGAGCTGCGGGGGCCACCGGCGCCTGAACCTGGGCTGCCCTGGCCGCGGCCACCAACCTCGCCGCCGCCGCGACCGTGGAAGCCCTGATGCCTGGCTCCAGAGCCGCTGTAGCGCACGCGGCTGTAGCCATCACCATCATCGCCGCCATACCCATCGCTGTCCCAGCCATAATCGCTGCCAGGCCCGCCCCTGCAGGCGCGGCCGGTATCCATGCGGCCGCGATGCCCATATCCGTCATAGCCGCCGCCGCAGCCTTCCTCATCTTCATCCGCGGTGTCCTCTGCACTCCCCTCGTCGAAGCTGGCGGCAGGCCTCTCGCGCCGCTGCCTCTCATGCCTTTGTGCCACGGCCAGCTGTGTAGAGATTGTACCCTCCTCCTCTACTGCCTCCCCTGCCTCCTCTCCCTCCTCCTCCTCCTCCCCTTCCTCCCTGCCCCACATCCATCGCCGCTGCTGGTGGTGCTGGTGCTGGTGCTGCTGCTGCTGGTGGTGCTGGTGCTGGTGCTGCTGCTGGTGCTGCTGCTGGTGCTGCTGCTGGTGCTGCTGCTGCTGCTGCTGCCGCCGTGTTGGCGCTGGCGGTGCAGCCGGTACCACCGCGCTTTTCGGGCTCATGGGCGCCAGCTGCGGCGCGACCTCCTCTTCCTCGTCGCTGTCTCTCAAGACCAGCACCCGCCGACGACGCGGCTGCCGTGGCAGCTGGGGAGGCACCACCCCCACTTGCGGCTGGTCATGTCCGTGGTGCTCGCCGGCCGCGCCGCCTGCTGCCCATTCGGCCTCAGGGGCGACCGGCACCCCTGCTGGCGCGAGCAGTGCAGGCACCAGGTCCTGCGCACGACCATCGTCCGCTGCGGCCGCGGTCGGCTCTGCCATTGCTGGTGTGGTGGATGTGCAGTGCGCGCCGCCGCCGCCGCGGTAGCCGGCGCTTGCCGACTGCGCAGCGCGACCCTGCGGCGCCCAGCCTGCTTGCTGCGCCTCTTCGGGGTTGGCAACGGCCAGCGCATGAAAGGCCGCCGCCTGGGCCGCCTGCGCGCACTCGTCCTCAACGTCGAGCAGCGCAACTCCAAAGAAGACGCCTCCCTAAAGCGGCGTGCGACAGGGTGAGCGTGGGATGGCGGCAGTAAGACGGGAAGCGGGAGGGGGCCGGTGGTACGCAGGGCGCTGGCGCTGGCGGTGTGTGGGTGTGAGTGACCGAGAGAGGTTTGCAGTGTGTCGCCGTGATGTGCCTCCACATCCCAGACCCTCTTTATTCTTGATGCATTACTTCGTCCCAAGGACATGCAAGATCGAGCGCGTTTGCTCCGGCAACGGCGCACCTGGCCGTCCTCCGCTCTGACGCAGCAGAGGTAGCCGAGCAGCTGCGCGTCGCTGGATGACGTCAGCCAGGTATCTGGCGCGCCGCTGCACACTGTCAGGCAGACGGCCGGCTGCCCGTCGGGCCCCTTGCCTACTGCCGCCGCCAGCCCCTCTTGCCCAAAGTCCGCAACATGCCGCACTGCGTCGACCGCGCGCTTGGGCTGCGCGCTGGTGCCGGCACGCTGCAGCTTGCGCAGGTTGATGTTCACCGCTAAAAAGCGCCGAACAACGGCCTCGACGCAGCAGCTGGCGTCTGTCCAGCGCCGGTTGCTGGCCGCTGCGACCTTCTGCACATATTGCAGCAGCTCCGGCCCCTTGTCGGCAAAGCGGCGTGCGCCGCTGAAGCCTCGGCCCCGCTCCGGCTGCTCTGCCTGCCGCCCCTCTGGCGCCGCCGACGAGAAGCCGCCCACGTACTTGTGGAACTTGGGCTTTGATTGCTTGAGCCCGAGCAGGTCAATTCTGGCTTTTGCCCTTGACGCGGCGGACGCGAGCGAGGCGCGCAGCTGCGCCCCAGCTGTTGCGATATCTGGCATGAAGTCCTCCTGCTGCTGCTGCTGCTGCTGCTGCTGCTGCTGCTGCTGCTGCTGCTGCTGCTGTTGCTGCTGTTGCTGCTGTTGCTGCTGCTGCGGGGGCGGCTGCGGCAGCGGCTGCTGGTACTGCTGCGGCTGCTGCGGCTGCGGCTGCGGCTGCTGCTCCTGCGTTTGACGTTTGCGCTGATGCAATATCTGTTCTTCTGCAGTCTCAGTGCGTTGTTTCTTGTTGTGCTTCATCTCAAGAGCAGCGGCAGCGTCACCACCCCCAGTCCCGTGCTTGGGGCTGCACGGGGGGCTGCCGCCAAGGGCGGCGCGCTTGTGGGTGCTGCCGGGCCCCATGCTGTTGCGGGCGCCGGCTGCTGTGGAGGAACTACCAAGTGCGATGCGGAGGGGGAGTTTGTCGAGCTTGGCCAGCCTGCGGCGCAGAGCGGAGCACATTGCCTGGGGGTCATGCAAGGGTTGACCATCTCGTGGGCGTGTCCGTGACGCAGGCTACGGCGGCTTCACAGGCGGGCGTATCTCGACCATATGAATACCCCACACCTTGGAGGCTGGTGGCTAGGGCCTCCGGGGACTTAGCCAACAAGTTGCCGCTTGCCGGGCCCGGGGGATGCGATCTGATCCCCTCGCTGGGCGCCCCGGCCTATCAACGAGACACAAGAGCTGAATTGTGGCAGTCACGACTTTTCTTGCGCGCTGAAGAGAGGGCTGGATATGAGCACCATGCTGGGCTCGGTGCGCCCACTGCAACTTGGCGTGGGCTGAGCTGAAAGTACTTTATGAACTTTTGAAATGATCATAATTGCCAGATCCAGCTGGTTGCAGCGCGCTTTTGGACAGGAATGCCATGACCTTTGTGTCGGAGCAGCTGCTTGCCTGCCGCTGTTGACCGCCGCAGCATGCTGATCACGTACATGAGGTGTCTTCCCGATCACTTACGGCGCCCAGAACTATTGGTGTTGCTGCTCTGGCTTGCCATAATGCCGTGTGCTGCCTTGCGTGCAGCTCTGCCAAGTATGCAGGCCCTGTGCTGACTGTGCGCAAGGGCTCAGTAGTCTCAGCAAACGCATTGCCCCCAAGCCGCGTGCGAAGCAGGCATGCCTCGCATGCGCCTGCCATCCTCCAGATAGCATGTGCTATAACTTACAACTTGATTCGCTTGGGCATATTATCGGGCAAGCAGAGTCAGGACACCACCATCATTGGCTTGCGGCGGCTGCACACACCCCTGAATTTTGTCAAGGGGTCTGATGAATGCCGCCAGGCCAGGTCAGGAGGGGCAGTGGACACCACAAAACTCCGCAATGACATAAGTGACGCGCCTGGCTGTAGGGGCGAGCTACTGCACGAGCACGTATCAGCTGGTTGCGGCGAGACAAATGTCGGTGGCGGCAGTGGCGTCGTTCTGCGTGCGCACCAGCGCCTCCGCTGCCACCGCAGGGCTGAACCCCATGCCCAACAGCTGCGTGTAGGTGTTGCAAAAGCCCACCACCTGCAATAAGTGTGGCCATGCGTGCGGGGTGGCGGGTGATGGCGGTGCGCGGGCAAGGGGCGGATGCCGGTGCATGCCAGCAGCATGAATGGGCAGGGTGATCCAGGTGCGCCGGCGTGCGCCGCGACTTGCAAGGCCATCGGACACGTGCATGGCCCTGAGTCCCTCTGCATTAGCATCTAGGCGCGATGCTGCAACACAGGCCTTCAAGCTTCTAGAAGCACCTCGGCACTACGCGCTGTTGGGGGCAGCGCCGGCTGATGCTCACCTGCGCCGCGTCGCCGCGGGTCTGTGCCAGGTAGGCGAGGGCCAGGCACACCGCTGCTGGTGTGCAGCTCACTCAATGTTCTGGCCGGCCGCAATTCCGGCACAGTTAGTGTCCTGGCCCAGGGCGGGTTTTTAGGGCGGTGATGGTCGTGTGTGCCGCACTGGGTCGCATGTCCGAGGGCAGCGGCGCATGGAGATGGACAAACGCATGAAGAGGACCATCCAGTGTACCACGATACGTGGTGCTGCTGCAGCAGGCAGTGGCGGTACTTGCAGAGGCCGATTGGCAACGCTGCAACAAGCCACCCTGACAACCATGCATGGGCTTCACCTGCACTTGCGCCCCAACTCAGACGCCGCCAGCACCAGCCACGACTTGGCAGCGATGACGGCCCCGGCTTTACCGGCCACGTCCACCTCAGCCTAGCACAGGAACCTGTCATCCAGCAGGCGGCCTCCAGCTGCATTGCTTTGCGTGCGCCAATAGATTCAAAGCCGCGCTGAGGCCTCGAGCTCCAGGCTCGAGGCTCGAGCCCGCCTGACGGCTGCGTCATCAGCAATTCTGAGGGAAAGGCAAGGTGGTCGCCGCACATGGTGACGCGGTGAAGTTGGGGGCAGGCCCGCGCTCGGCAGCCAGCAAGCTCAATTGCTGCATTCGCCTGGGGAGGCCGTCCACACAGATGGAGTGGTGTGCTTGCACAGCACGAGCGCGCGCACAGCACGGGTTTGCGCTTTGCGACGTCGCTCGCGTTTACAGGATGGTCCCAACGGCGCCCACCAGGGACTCCCATCAAACCACATCTGTCAGTTTGATACGTATTGCAGATGATGTGGCTGTCAGCCTGGAATGGAGAACCGCATCAGGCTCATGCTGCACCGAGATGGCACGCCTCCGTCCACGCTGCAGCGTGCTGTGTCAGAGAGGGTGGCGCCACAAGGCCATTACGCAACCTCATATGGTATGCTGGTTGCATGCGACCAGGCAAGGGAAACGAGGCAGCCTGACAATGTCGAATCGTTGGCGGGTGCCGTCCGAAACGCACTGCGAGACTGTGGTGCAGCAACACAGCCATTTCCTTCGAGGTCGAATGCACGAACCTCGCAGTCAATGACTTTTTCGTTTTTTGATAGGCTGGTGTATCGGGTGTTGATAGGCGCGTTGATCTTGTGGCGGGAGGTCCCGATGTACTAATAGTGCGGATTTGGACCTCGTAATCTGTCGCTTCGCACTCATTAGATTTAATTCACGCCACCAAAACCGCCATCGATGCCATACAGTATCACAGCGTATGATCTCATCTCGGAATTGAAGTGCGTTGAGGTGGGCTCTCATTTCTGAGAGAGATCATATCCGCAGTCCATATCCAAACCAGGCATCAAACTATATGAGTACCTCACGTCGCCCAGGCGACAAGCAGCTTGGCCCGCCTGCACCCGCACACGGGTGCGTCATGCGCTGTGCGCCCCGCGCAGCCCGGCTCCCCGGAGATGCAGCACGCCCCTTCGCGGCAGCACCCACATGTGCAATGGAGTTGGTAGTTCAGGCATTGTTCCAGATTAGCAGCGGGTGGGGGGTTTGCCAGGCTGTGAGGCAGCTGCTGATGCTACCAAGTCATATCCCATGAGCCTGGATGGCTCCAAGAGCGGGCGACCGCGGGATCTTGCAACAATCCTAATACTAACCCAGGTGCTCCTCCTACGCATCGCTTATCTTGAGCTAGGGTGGCCATAGCAGGCAGGCGCGGTCCCATGCGATGGCGGCAGCGAGCGCAGAAGCATGGACAGTAGCCACGGTGGCATGACCGGCAGCAGGACACTTCAGAGCATCCAGTGTTGCTGAGGTGAGTTCGAGGACAACTTGTTTGCTCATTGAGGACGGCTGTGCGACATGCAGCCTCTGTAACCAGGCAGTAGCAGAGTGCCTACGACGCAGCAACCCTGCGCAGCTTGGCCTGCGATTTTGCGTCACCGTTGTTTGAGCTGTCAGGCACGCACATCGGGTCGCAGCCAGCCCGTCAGCCTCGCATTTCTCCTCAGTACAACCTGCCTAGTAGGTTCAGGTGTAAAATCCCCAGCATTATCACTCCTTCCTGCTCTCACTATTGCCACCATCGCGGCGACATCACAACCTGCCGCCTCTGGCACACAATGGGGAGGTGGTTGACACAGTCAACACGAGAAGGTGCGGTGATTGGGCTGGCGGCAAGTGCTGTGGCGCGCTGGGATCATGGGCGTGCCTCAAGTTGAACGGTTTGGAGGGAGGCGGCGCCCCTGTGCTGCTGGCTACGCCAGGACGCTCGAAAAGCGTGCCTGGGCGGCCACCTTCAGCAGCCCTACCCATGAGCTTCGACTGTCATGTGCCCTTCTCAGACTCCGTCTGCGCGCATCCTCGCAGGCATGCCGCAAAGTCTCTAGCACACACTCAACAGTGCGATGCAGGCGCTGCGCGAGCTGCTCACAGAGCCGCGAGTGGAATAGCTGAAGACGCCCTAGCCGCTGCGTGGCCTCCTGGGGACGCCAAGCCTCGAGACGGCCCCTTCATTTGGAACAGTTCTGTGTGGGAGACGCTGCTCAAGATGCCTGCAGGTTGTCGGGACTGCGCACAGACAGTGCATCTGTGAGCGCCGCCTGTACTGCAGCAGTACTGCAGCAGTCCTGCCCCATGTGACACGAATAGCAGGTCGCCATGACCGCAGCCTCCCGTCGACCACTGCTCGACCACCATCGAACTCACTGGCCCCCCAGCTTGCGCTCAGGCAACGACGCGCCATCGTATCCTTGTGCAGGCTCCCCAGCAGCAGCGCAAGCACGTCGCTGGCGCGGCGGCCCCGCAAGCCTTGAAATGCTAGGAGCTGGCTCGAGAGCTGCAATTGGGGGCGTGTTAGTGCGCGAGATTGACAACCGCACTCGGCTGCGCGCCCCCGCGGCGGGCACTGCGGCGCCCACAGGCGGCGTCGCGGTGGCGGGAACTGCGGCTTTGGCAGGCAGCAGCCGAGCAACAGCAGCAGTGGTGCCTGCGGAGCCAGCAGGGTCCTGCAAGGTGAGACGGTGTGCTGAGCTGCGACGGTTGGAAGGTCATATGTCACCGGGCATGCTTTGTCATCACGCCAGCGTTTCCTTCTGCTCCTTACATTGCTGGGCAGTCACTGTGTCATAGCAAACAAGCCTGCGTACCCTGGGACACAAACAAACCTGAACGCTCACATTCAGCAAGCCCATGGATGCGCCCGGCAGTACCGCGGACACTTGATCCCTCGCTCACCCACCCCCACCCCTTATCATCTACCTCATTGCCGTCTCCCTCGCCTGATTCACAAACCAAGGCCCTGGTCAAACCCTGCACTGGGAGACGCGCAAGAAGCGTGCCGCGGCGCTCAACGTGGCCGCAGTGCTGCAGAAGCAGCCGCGCCTGCTGGGGGGGCTCCCCTTCAAATCCGCCCTGTCGCGTGTCGCCGCGGCGCTCGTGCCGGCCGCTCTGCTGGGCGGCGCAGCAAAGCCCTCTTTGCCACCAGCAGCAGGGCCCACGGCGCAGCTGGTGCTTGCGGGGTCCGACGCCGAGGCAATGGCAACGGCAACGGGCGACGACATGGCCTCCCAGGCGGCAGACGCCGAGGCGCTCGCGGCTGGCGCGCTGTTGGTGCTCGCGTTTGCGACGCAGAGCGCCCAGCTGGCAGCAGCATGGGTGGACGAGCCGTTTGTCCGCACCCTGCTTTGGCTCGCGCACGCGCCGCCGTCGCCGTGCGTGCTGGCTGGCGCGCTAGGCCTGCCACGCCCGCCGACAAGGACGGCGCGTGGGGCGCGGCGGCAGCGGCGCTGCAGCGCGTGATGGCAGACGCGACTAATGGAACACGGACGCGGCTGGTGCTGGAGCAGCTACTGCCGCCGGGGCTGGTGGCGGGGATCGCAGAGGGGCGGCCAGAGGCGGTGCTGCGCATGCTGGCCCAGGTGGGCCGCGATGAACGGGGCGGCTGGTGCTTGGGGCATTGCCGCTGGGCAGCGGGTGGGGTCTTGGGGTCTCCCTAGCCTTGTTGGCATGCCGTCCTGTCCAAGGCCCCCTCTGTCGTCCCACCGGAAACCAAGACAGATACTCTAGGTTCAGCAATTCTGCATGACATGGCTGTTACTGCACCCATCTCACAGCGGCGTATGCTGCACCGCCGCCTCCTCACCACCACCCCAGGACATGGAGACCCCAGAGTCGCTGTGCGACCGCCAGATGGTGTCACAGGCCGCCGCAGAGGCCGCCGCCCTCGCCGCCACCGCCCGCATGCAGCACGCGGCCGGCAGGCCCGATTGGGCGCCGCCGCCTGGCTACCGGCTGCGGTATGGCCGCCTGTGGGGGAGCTCTTTGTGGGGGGCGTGCATGTGCGACTGTTCCTCAAGAGCCCGCGGTTTGCTGTGCGGGACCCCGTAAAGTTCGGGGAGGCGTTGGCGGAGTGCTGCCTGCAAGAGCTCTCCACAGCGGCAGACATACGCCGTGTCGCTGGTGCCGGCGGCGCGGCAAGCGACGCGGCCGAGGCAGCGGCGGGGTCGGCGCTGCTGCTGTCTGCAGCGGCGTTTGCGCTGCTGCGGGGCCACGGGCTGCTGTGTGACCACCTGGCTCAGCTGGGCTACAACAGCAGGCTCCTAGGTTTGCTTGCGCACCGCGCCCCATCGGCAGCGGTGGCCACCACGCCAGGCATTCAGAAGCAGCTGCAGGCGGCGGAGGCAGCGCCTGGCGAGCTGGGCGGTAGCCCGCTGCGCCTGCTGCACCAGCTCGCGTCGAGCGCAGGGCCGTCTGAGGCGCTCTCAACCGCCACGGCAACGCCCTGCGTGCCGAAACGGATGGCGGTGATGGTGTGGGGCCCGGCGCGAGCGTCCTTGCACTGCAGACGCTGAAGCGCGCGCTCGCGCCCGGCAACCGGCATCGCGACATGTTGGTTGCACAGGCGCTGCAGGCGCAGCTTCCGGCGCGGCTGCTGCAGCTGCTGGACTGGAGGAACGGGAGCGGGAGCGGGCCTGCCCCCACGCTGCAGCAGTGGGAGGTGGAGCCCCCCCGTATGAGCGAGCAGGGCAGCCAACGCCCGAAGACGCAGCAGCAGCAGCAGCAGCAGCAGCAGCAGCAGCAGCAGCAGCAGCAGCAGCAGCAGCCGGCGGGAGAGGCGCAGGAGGCGACGGTGCAGCGCGCATTGATGATGGATGTCCTGCGGCTGCTGTCGGAGCAGGAGGGCGCCTATTCAGCGCAGGCGGCCGCGCTGCTGGCCCGCAGCGAGGTGTGGGGGGCGTGCCGTGGGCAGCGACACGACGTGTCCCTGCTTAGCGGGGCCACGGACGACGGCGGCGTGGCAGGGCTGCTGATGGCAGGAGAGGCCGCGCGATTTGCGCTGCCAGCGGCGGAGGCGCTCGCGCCGGCAGGCAGGGACCGTGCGGGTTGACATGCCGACTGGCCATTGATTACAATGATGGGTGACGTTTGCTGCAGTCAGTCAGATCGTGTTTGCCAGGTTTGTTTGATTGCCGAATGCAACGTCGGCTACGTGGGATGTGAATTTGTCAACATGCTCGAAGCTCCAAACAGTGGCGCTGGCAGCAGCAGGAGATGTCTGCGATCGCAGCGGGCTTCCAGCACCTGCTGCTGCTGCTGCTGCTGCTGCTGCTGCTGCAAACCATGCACGCAGGCGCCTGCTGCATGCTGAAAGAAGACACCAATAGCAGAAGTATGTGTCGACGGCCTATGTGGCTTGCAGGCTACGTGCAG